TTCAGATGTATAAGGTAACAGGATGCTTACAAGATCAAGGTCTTCTTTTTTGATTTTATGAAACACCATCTGACTGATGTTGTGTCTCTGCAGTGAGGAGGACAGGGGAACCTCTAAACCCCGATGACTCCGGCACACCAACAAACTCGACTTCTCTATTTACAAATACACAAGGCAAAGGGATGTCAGGATGATACATTTAAGGTAAAAAAAGGTAAACAAGAATACATTTTCACAATCTGAAAGGTTGTTGTTTGCCAGATGACACTGTAGAGTTGTACATTTGTGGTACTCATATATCATAATCATGATGAGATTATCAGGTGCTTTACTGACCTTTGGCCTTTGGTGAACAGCACCTGCTGAACTGAAAGACGACACCATCTGATTTCACAGTTTCCTTCTGGTAACACTTGAGCAGCTCCTTCAATCTTCTAAAATTCTTTTTGGTTCCACTAAGATTGTAGTCGCCATTCTCAGACCTGGTGATCAGGCAGTGTTTGTACTCTACATCCTCATACGCCTGGTGGAAAGAAAAGCTGATGTCAAGAGAGATTCAAGAAATGTAGACTAGCATTCAAATATTAGGGGTAAGATAGATGTATATTTAACTTTCTATTCCAAAAATCCAGAGTATCATGGTTTCCACAAAAATATTAAGTAGCACAACTGTTTGAACATTTTTATAACAAATGTTTTTTGAGCTACAAATCAGCATATCAGAATGATTTCTGAAGGATCATGTGACACTAAAGACCGGCATAATGGCTGCTGAAAATTCAGCTTTGCCGTCACATGAATAAATTAAATTATATTAAATTATTTTAAAATATATTTCAAATAGAAAACAATTGTTTAAAATTGTAATAATATTTTACAATATTTCTGTTTTACTGTATTTTGGATCAAATAAATGCAGCTTTGTTGATCAAGATTCTTTCAAAAACCTAAAAACAAATCCTAACAACCCCCAAACGTTTAAACGGTAGTGCATGAAGTTCAGGATTACAGTGGAGGAATATTCAGTCTAAAGTACAAATCGCTAAATTGACAATTTATGATGTTTTTTTTTAATTATTAATAAGTGCTTAGCAAAAACATACCCCAACAGCAAGAGTCAGGAAGTATTTGTTGAAGTCTTTGGGGCTGCACCGGAGCACGAATAGACCTCTCTGATTTCCTGACTTGCGTAGTTTACTGATTGCAAACTCCATTCTGTCAACACGGGCAGTGAAAACAATGATAATGCTTACAAATGATGCTTGATTGCAAATCTTCGGAGAATTTGATGAATAACTTCACTGGAGCCTGTAAAATTAAATATAAACCAGGGCCAAAAATGGTGCTCTGAATAAATTCTTTCATTTTCGTTTGTAAGTATTTCCTGTAGTGCTTACGATATTGGTCCATGGCAGTAACTCTCAATAGCCTCCAGCAGATGGGGTGGAACGACATCCTTGCAGAGGTAGTGATGTGCATCCGTGGTCAGTCTGTAGTAGCCATCAATTAGAGACACAAAAGACAATGCCTCCATTGAGGAGGAGAACACCAGCTCCTGTTAAAAAAAATCAACAAAAAATATAAAAATATAAATATTATCACCGATAATAGCAGGAACAAATCCAGAAGTTCAAAGTCACTGTGAGCCCCTTTAACATAGTGTGACAATGAAAGGATATCCCAGTGAACAATGCAGCAGAGTTTCTCTTTCACAACAGACTTACAAGAGTTTTTCCATCCTGTCTGTTGATGGAAACAATGCGGTTCATGTTGGTACCTTCTTTGCTGGCTTGTCTGATACTGATATCGACAACTTCCCCAAAATCACAATACGTCTGCAGGTCCTTGTGAGAAAAATACAATAGTGTTATGAAATTTCACCAGAAGAAAAAGTAACCTCCCACTTTATTTTGGCATGAGTGCAGAAATATTAATAAACAACAAGACTGGGGTTTCCTTCAGAATATGCCAATGCATTCATTGCTGCAAAATAATTCTTTCAAAGTTCCAGGTAGGTTTAGATTAGGTTTCATGACACGTAGCATTAGTGTCTTGTTTTCTGCCCACTGTGCAGAAGAATTGACACGACACAACACAATCTTTGCAGTGTGAAAGTAGCTGCAGATTCTTGAATAGATGCTAGAAACAAATCGCAACTCCAGTAGTAGATCAATTGCATAATGATATAATTGTGACAATTAGAACTCGAAAGGTCAGAGATTTGTCTTAAAAAGTTTATAGAAAGAAATTACAATAGTGTAACTAAGATTTGAATTACGTAGAAACCAAAAACTGTATAAAGTATGTACACTTTTGTTCAAATGTTTGGGGTCAGTAGAATACAAAGACATTTTCACAAAAAGAAATGTTTGGAAATGTAAACTGACATTTCCTACTGACACACTACAGCAAAAGATAGAAATAAGGTTTACTCACCCTGAAGTTGTTCCAGACCTGTATGAATTTCTTTCCTCTGTTGAACACAAAAAAAGATATTTTGAAGAATGTTTGGAACCAAAAAGTTGACGTAGCCACTGACTTCCATAGTATTTTTTTATACTATGGCTACCGTCAACTGTTTGGTGGTAAAAATATCTTCTTTTGTGCTCAACAAAACACAAATTGGTTTGGAACAAATTGAGGGTGATTAAACGATGACAAGATTTTAATTTTTGGGTAAACTATCTCTTTAATGATAGTTTACCCAATCTAAAGTCTTACACTAAAATGCTGAAAATTATTAGGTTGTGTCTATAATGAATTTAGAATCAGAAATGTTTGGAAAAAAGGCAAATGGGTCCATAACTTTTCATCGCATATATATGACACATTGACAGGCCAAAATATTAAGAAAATCATTCCATTACTAGTACCTAATGTCATTATAGATGTCCAGTGGGGAGCACTGCTTCTCTTTGGCAATCCTCATCATGTCCAGCACAGCCATGCCAAGGCACTCCTCCTGAACCTCATGGGCACAGGATAGCTTCACCCAGCCGTTTACAAAGTCACTCCTCCACTGCATAAAACACAGAGAAAAAACCTGTATCAGCATGACAGCATAAGAAAATGTCAAAAATGTGTGGAAATCAGTGAGAGGGAGAGTTGAATGACATGGTAGTAACTCTGTGGGCACAAGGTTTGAACAGTTAAGGTCACAAGTTAAGGTCATTTTTAACCCTGGGTTAGCCTCATATTAGTTACCTTAGTCTCATGATTATTACAGTAGGTTCACTGCATGTAGTTCTATAATTGTGGTATCATATATTTAAGATAAACTCAACCCTAAATGGCACATACACTAGCATTCAAAAGTTTGGGGGCAGGTAAGATTTTTTTAAATATTTCTAAAAAGTTTGTTCACCAAGGCTGCATTTAAGTGATGAAAAATACAGTAAAACAGAAATACTGTAAATATTACGACTTAAAATAACTGTTTTCTATTTTAATATATTTTATTGTGATGACAATGCTGAATTTTCAGCAGCCATTACTGGGTATCATATATTTAAGATAAACTCAACCCTAAATGGCACATACACTAGCATTCAAAAGTTTGGGGGCAGGTAAGATTTTTTTTAATATTTCTAAAAAGTTTGTTCACCAAGGCTGCATTTAAGTGATGAAAAATACAGTAAAACAGAAATACTGTAAATATTACAACTTAAAATAACGGTTTTCTATTTTAATATATTTTATTGTGATGACAATGCTGAATTTTCAGCAGCCATTACTGTCTTTGATGAAAGTTTAAAAGAACAGCATTTATATGTAACTCTTTTGTAACATTATAAATATCTTTACTGTCACTTTTGATCAGTTTAATGTATCCTTGCTGAATAAAAACAGTCAAAATGATCTAATTAACTGTTTCAAAGTTTTAATTTTAAAATAGGAATAATATAGAGACATATATATGAACAGTGTGAAACAATAACCCAGGTTTAAAAATGGTTATCAAACATTAGGGGGATTTTTTTAAATCACAAACTGATATTTGTAGTTGACATAAATAAATCGATTAGAAAGATTAATAGATGTTCACAAAATTGTACTAAAAAAAAAAAACATTCACAAAACATTTGAAAACAGAACATTATCTATTTGCATGGCTGTCAATAGGCTGAATGCTGACTGCTGGTATTTGGCCAATCTGGCACACTTTCTGTTACAACTCTCAAAATGCTAATTGCCAGCCAATTAATTGGGTCTACAGATAAAAATTACCCTGGGTTAATGATATTAAGTGTTGTTAAGTGTATGTGAAGTTTAAAACACTTATTCACCATGGCTCTGGGGTTATACACCAAAAACACCATTTATTAAACATGGTATGTCAAACAAGCATCAGTAAGCAAATATATATATTTTTATTTTACATAATTTTAATTGTAAACTACCAACTACAACACTCATGTGCATTAATATGAGGGTGCCAGAGAAAACCCACATCAGAACTGGGGACTTGTAACCCGTAGGTTGTGGGTTCGAGTCTCAGGTCCGGCAGGGATTGTAGGTGGGGGGAGTGAATGACCAGCGCTCTCTTCCACCCTCAATACCACGACTGAGGTGAGACCCTTGAGCAAGGCACCGAACCCCATGGCTGCCCACTGCCCCGGGTGTGTGTGTGTGCACTTGGATGGGTTAAATGCAGAGCACAAATTCCGAGTGTGGGTCACCATATTTGACCACACTTCACTTCACTTTAACTAAAAGCAAACATACATTGAAAGCATCAACCATGAACAGCGCAGCCGCAGACTGACTGACAAGTGTATACAATATGAAACTGCAAAGCTGCTGTTTAAAAATGACTCCTGCCTGTGTCACACTTGCACATTTACAGGACATAAACCCATGTAATCCAACTGGTCAGACAGAGTTAACCTCCAAACACATCACAGCTTAATTTTAAACCCACATAAGCCTGCTCTCTCCCCGGATGACCGCAACATGATGGTCGTCTGACTTCCGCTCAAAAAATATTTATTTTGATATATTTATCAAGGATATTTCTTGCTCCTTAATAGATTAGCTAAGGATGTAACTTCAGGCTATAACTGTGCAAAACATTTTAGCGAAGCATGCTGGATATATCGCTACACCACACTTCACTTCAATTTAACTAAAAGCAAACATACATTGAAAGCATCAACCATGAACAGCGCAGCCGCAGACTGACTGACAAGTGTATACAATATGAAACTGCAAAGCTGCTGTTTAAAAATGACTCCTGCCTGTGTCACACTTGCACATTTACAGGACATAAACCCATGTAATCCAACTGGTCAGACAGAGTTAACCTCCAAACACATCACAGCTTAATTTTAAACCCACATAAGCCTGCTCTCTCCCCGGATGACCGCAACATGATGGTCGTCTGACTTCCGCTCAAAAAATATTTATTTTGATATATTTATCAAGGATATTTCTTGCTCCTTAATAGATTAGCTAAGGATGTAACTTCAGGCTATAACTGTGCAAAACATTTTAGCGAAGCATGCTGGATATATCGCTACCATTCTGGTTATTGGCCAAAACTACGTTTTTATTTTTACTTATTATTGGTCATCACTGGATATTAAATTGTGCGGCCCATTTTCTTTGTCTTTACATTTAAATTACCTTGCTATTGCTCACTTAAAGGCATTTTTTAATCCCTTAATTTAATAACACGGTTAAAATTTGATCTTAAAAATAATTTCATTATCTTTTTTAGCTCACATTTAAAACAATTTCAAGTTTAGTGTTTTATTTGGACTTTTAGTCTAGAATTTTAATATCCAGCATTGTGGTTCACTGTGGCTGTGATTTTCTTTCGTTCTTTTAATTTTTATTTAACCAGTAAAATATATATACATATGTGTCCAGGGAATTACATAAAACTCCAGTGTGGCACGCATAACCTTCATTGGATAAATCCCATACATTACCCTTTTAAAATTAGCTTTGACCATTTTTGACAATAATAGTCAAGTTAAATCACAGAAATTGTAGTAATAATAATAATAATACCCAACCATCAGCAAACATACCCACAACCAAAACATTTTAATCCAAGTGCCAAGTCACTAAATAGCCTGTCTTTATTTTAGTCAGCTAAACAAAATCTGAACGTACAGGGGATATATACTCAATCCAATCTCTCCATAGTAGTGAAAACAAATGAGACGGCAATCTTAAAGCATAAGTGCACTTCTCCTTTACCAAAATATCATTTACTATATACAGTCTTCAAGATTAGGCAAAACTGGTTGTAGCCATTTTCTTGTGATTGCTTTCTTGCTTGCTATAGTAAGGATTCTAAACAGGGCTTTGTTTCAAAGGTGGCTGCGATTTTCATGAAAACATGCTCTTCAGACAATGTAAAACACTGAATTATCTTTAATATGTCCTTGCGAGAGTGACACTTAACAAGAGACACTATTATAGTTATGTATTAAAAAAATCAGGGATCAATCACATTCAATCAGTGACAGTCATCGCATACCAGACTGTTGGTGGAAGACGAACAGGCGCCACAAAACAAGCCCACTCAGTAGAGTCAGAGCGGCCAGCATGAGTTTCCTTTATTTATCATTTGCTTAAATAGGGGCCTTTATCCATGCAGATATACACTGGCATAATTCACATTTGCACACTCTAAATCCGAAACCAAGACTGTCTTTTCTTTGAGAAGATAATCTAGGTCAAATTGTAATTAAATTATATATGGATGTGTTCAATTACCCAAGATATGCTCAGATTTCAGGCCAAGTGAAACGTAACTGTAAAACACTGTTGCTATGGTGATTCAAAATCCATGACAGCACAAACAACACTTAATTCACAATTAAAGGTAATTTCTTTATTACAAAGTTGATGTGGGGAAGCCTCACCTGAGCAAAAATATAAGACATAGCATAGTCATCCAGGATAGGACTCTCAGATCCTTTAGTCACTCCATAGCGGTACGCTCGGGACGCCCCACAACTGTACCAGCCGGGAAAATAGTACCTGACAGAAAATATCACAGTCACAATTGCAGGCTGAAAAATTGAGATGGAGAAAACAAAAGCCATAAAATAATATTACGTTACCTAATTCTGAATAACAAACTCTCATTGGCTGTTTCGTCTAAATGGAGAACATGATTGGGTGATAACCAGACCCTTTCATCTTCTTTGTACAGTCCGAACAGGCTGCAGTAGACTGGAGACACTCCTATGAGAAACACAAGATAAAGAACAGGTGCTAATGAGACAAGAGAGACAGACACAACATTAGTCTTATGGCCCAAACACAAACAATTTTTCACACCAAAACAGTCAGTGTAAAGTGAGAAAAGTCTGTACATGTAAACTAGGGATGGGTCACTATGGTCAACTAATTGACCAGTGGTGCAACAGCCAACTAGTCAGTTTGTTCTGTTAACTAGTTAATTATTAGAATAGAATTATCCTTATTATAATATTATTAGAATGATTCATCACAAATCAGAAATAAAATGACATATCAAAATATATATTCTTAAATATATTCAAATAGAAAAGTTATTTTAAATAATAATAATAATAATAATAATAATAATATTTCACAATATTAATTGTTACTGTGATTTATCCCATAAATGCATCCATAAAAAGGCTTCATTGAAACATGTAAAAAATTGTACCGAAAGTTTTAACTATAAACACACACAAAATCTCATTGATAAAAAAAAGCTAAAAATTCATGCTAAGTGTGAATAGGCCTTTACTTTTAATTTTTCAACTTTACTTTTATTGGTAAAAACTATTTATTAGTTGATGTCTGGATGCAAGGAAACCCTCTAACTAAATAAAAATGAATTTCCTTAAGTGCATAGACAAATTAAGTTCCCTCAAAATGACTGATATCAATCACATATGCATTTACTAGCCCTTTCAGATTTATTAAATAGCAGCAGCATGTGTAGCAGTTGAAATAATTTAAAGGAAGTCTGCTGAAAAAAAAATACCTCTTGAAATACCATCACGCATCTGTCACCAATACCCTGCTGGGGACAAGCTGATGTTTATCTTTATTAAACAGTAAACACAGGTGGACTGACAGGATCTTATATTATATAAGCCATCAATACTGCACCAGATTGTGAGATGTGAAAATCCCCAACGTGTCCCCAATAACTGACTGTTATTGGGGACACAATAAAACATCTTCCCCTCATAGGTATAAAAAAACTGAGGACACGGTGTTATCAATAATCAATTTGTATGAGTATTAAATAATGTCAGGTGGGTAAAGCCTTTTTTTTTGGAAAATCACTTCAACACGTGTCCTAACCAGGCGCAACGTGACAAGTGTTCCCATTTCTGTTCACACTGAAAGTGAAAATGTTGTGTAACTCACCATCATTTTTGTTTGATATACAGCTGTGAGCATCACAATTTTTGATCAAATGAAATTTCACAGTGAAAGGGCCTACCCAGTGTAACAAAACAAATATAGATACCAAGCAACGGATGAAATGTCTAAGATGTTTGTCACAGTCATGTTTCCTTTGGACAAAAAGTTCATGGAAGAGATTTATCACATTGCATCTAGGCAAAACACAGTGCTTACGGTGTTGAATAATGTGTTATTCTTTAACAGAATGCATAATTCACATTTACTTTATAAAGTCAACATACATTTTTAGCTTCTTTTCTATATTACATGATGGGCATGACTGACCGCACTCCTTGGCAGTGTTGATGATGAGCTGTTCGGTAACGTATTCTCCCGGTGGGTAGCAGAGCGGGGCGCAGTTAGAGTCGCTCTGGCTGCTGTGGTAGAGGTGGATCCTGAGAACGGTGGGCTGCTTCGGGCCAAGCTCCTCATGGTGGACGTCACCGTTCTGGTAAAGCGGCTCACAGACAGCTGTCTCCATGTCCATCACAGAGACACAAGCCATGAGAGACAAAAGAGCAACATTCACCTGGTGGTGGACATGTGGAGAAAGAGAACACAGTCAGATTACCAAAAAATGACCGGATGGCTACTAATATGGCAGAACATGCTTTTGTTGCGCAAAGACAATACAAGGAAATGAACAGATTATCAAGCTCCTCCTTCAAATGAATGCAGAAAATCTGAGCATCAGTGCAAATGCAAATTTCACCTCCAAACTCCAGTCTTTTGAGGACTTCTGAAACAATTCATTTGATCACATCTACCAACAAATTTCAAAGCCTTGAAATAAATAAAAAAGGACTTATTAGGGGGAAAAAAAAGTAGTAGAGGTGAACAATATATCAGGAAACGATATGTTATTGTGTAATAATTGGGAACATTAAATGATTATTGATGCCGATAGTGGAATTAATGCCATTGGTTATTGTTAATGGTAATTTTAACCAACAATTTGCTAGGTACGATATACTAGCTTGTATTTGTGTATGTACGACCTAATTCTTGTTTCATGTGTTCAGAATGTAAGCATGAATTTAACTGATATTCTGACGCTTCATAAGATTAATTTAAAGATATGTCAAAAGATTGTCAAAGCCATATGATCTGTATATAACCAGTGGGCTGTTCTCACTATTCTTAATTGTTTTTGTTAAATTGGTCAGACAGACATCTCTGGCCCTCCACTCTTTTTGAACACATAAATGTGTCCTGTGTGAACACTCGCATACATCTATTTGCGTTTTTTCATATACGGTCATGTGTTTTTTTACATAAATTATTTTCTAAATCATGAAACAGACCATTTTTAATTTGTCAGCAATTTCAAAAGCCAAGTTAAAAGTTATACTTAAAGGGGTCCTATTATGCTCTTTTACGAAGTCTTGATTTTGTTTTGGGGGTGCACTAGAAAAGGCTCTCATACTAGGTTGTTCAAAAAACAGATTATTTTTCACATATTTTACATTATTACAACACCTCTCTCCCCAGTCTGGCATGAATGGCTCGAATAGTTTCTGTATCAAATGAAGGCCCACCATCTGAAATGCTAAATGGGCTGTGATTGGTTAGTTGGGCCAGTGTGTGTTGTGATTGGTTAGCTGGGCCAGTGTGTGTTGTGATTGGCAGCACTCGGCGCCTGGTCGGGAAATGACATGCCCCTTACCACTGCGAGCTTCAGTGTAAATATTGCGTCAAAATCAAACCAATTTGAGCGCGATTTAACCCGGATGATTGTAACCACTCTAAAGTTCGTCTGCCTTGTGAAAACTAGCGTGTCTCCGACATAGTGATAACACTCGTTGCCTTCTCTAGTGAAGCTCAGCCAGGTCTCATCCCATTCGTCGATATTTGTGATATCACAAATCCCAGAAAATATGCGTTGTAGTCCAAACGAGTCATTCGTTGTAGTTTTTGAAAAGGGACTTCTGTTAAATAAAATCTCTTTTTGAAGTGAACTTTGAGCTTTGTAACTTTGCAGATTTTTTTTATGCTCAAACAGCGACATTACAGACTAACTAAAGTTGAAAAAGTGAAAAAGCATAATAGGACCCCTTTAATACATGCAAGCAAAATTCAGACTCTTGACAACTGTTGCTATATCAAGTAGCCTAAACATTTTTTAATCTAGCTAGCTGCTCCAGGTAAAAGATATAAAACACACACACACAAAAGACTAGTTACCAGTATCAGCCACGACAATATATAGATTGTCAGATATCAATATCACTCCAGAAATTCCATATAAGATCATCCACTTTCCCACTTCTGTCTGCTGTACGTACCAAACCATCTGAGAGTCATACATATAGTACATTTGTCAAAACACTGACTGTGTGAACACAGAAGAATCTGAAGAGCAGAAAAAATTTACCTGTATGCATATGAAGAGTACAATACTGGGCTTCCAACAGTGTGTGAATAGTACATATTTACTAGCTTACAATGTTTACTTGATATACAGCCTATTGTAACGCCCTGCGTCATCCTTTTTATTTTCACTTCAGGGCTTTAGTGTTTCGAGTGAATGTGAGTCATTTGATGTTGGTCAAGTCATGCACATCTGTTTGCTCATAAACCTCTGCCACTCACTGATATTACATGCTCTTCGCCATTAAAGGGCTGTTTACACCTGGTCACTTAATGCGTTTTGTCTGATTGGATAGCTATCCGATCGTGAAAAGGCCAGGTGTAAATGCCCTCCGAAACGCATTCGAGATGGATATAAATCTGATCGCTCAAACCACTTCAGGAGGTGGTATGGGCCGCATTCCAGACGAAACTGGACAAGCGTAAATGCATTTTTGGGGGTGCACTAGAAAAGGCTCTCATACTAGGTTGTTCAAAAAACAGATTATTTTTCACATATTTTACATTATTACAACACCTCTCTCCCCAGTCTGGCATGAATGGCTCGAATAGTTTCTGTATCAAATGAAGGCCCACCATCTGAAATGCTAAATGGGCTGTGATTGGTTAGTTGGGCCAGTGTGTGTTGTGATTGGTTAGCTGGGCCAGTGTGTGTTGTGATTGGCAGCACTCGGTGCCTGGTCGGGAAATGACATGCCCCTTACCACTGCGAGCTTCAGTGTAAATATTGCGTCAAAATCAAACCAATTTGAGCGCGATTTAACCCGGATGATTGTAACCACTCTAAAGTTCGTCTGCCTTGTGAAAACTAGCGTGTCTCCGACATAGTGATAACACTCGTTGCCTTCTCTAGTGAAGCTCAGCCAGGTCTCATCCCATTCGTCGATATTTGTGATATCACAAATCCCAGAAAATATGCGTTGTAGTCCAAACGAGTCATTCGTTGTAGTTTTTGAAAAGGGACTTCTGTTAAATAAAATCTCTTTTTGAAGTGAACTTTGAGCTTTGTAACTTTGCAGATTTTTTTTATGCTCAAACAGCGACATTACAGACTAACTAAAGTTGAAAAAGTGAAAAAGCATAATAGGACCCCTTTAATACATGCAAGCAAAATTCAGACTCTTGACAACTGTTGCTATATCAAGTAGCCTAAACATTTTTTAATCTAGCTAGCTGCTCCAGGTAAAAGATATAAAACACACACACACAAAAGACTAGTTACCAGTATCAGCCACGACAATATATAGATTGTCAGATATCAATATCACTCCAGAAATTCCATATAAGATCATCCACTTTCCCACTTCTGTCTGCTGTACGTACCAAACCATCTGAGAGTCATACATATAGTACATTTGTCAAAACACTGACTGTGTGAACACAGAAGAATCTGAAGAGCAGAAAAAATTTACCTGTATGCATATGAAGAGTACAATACTGGGCTTCCAACAGTGTGTGAATAGTACATATTTACTAGCTTACAATGTTTACTTGATATACAGCCTATTGTAACGCCCTGCGTCATCCTTTTTATTTTCACTTCAGGGCTTTAGTGTTTCGAGTGAATGTGAGTCATTTGATGTTGGTCAAGTCATGCACATCTGTTTGCTCATAAACCTCTGCCACTCACTGATATTACATGCTCTTCGCCATTAAAGGGCTGTTTACACCTGGTCACTTAATGCGTTTTGTCTGATTGGATAGCTATCCGATCGTGAAAAGGCCAGGTGTAAATGCCCTCCGAAACGCATTCGAGATGGATATAAATCTGATCGCTCAAACCACTTCAGGAGGTGGTATGGGCCGCATTCCAGACGAAACTGGACAAGCGTAAATGCATCTGATTGTTGAAACCACATATGTAAACTTTACTCCTCCCAAAATGTTAAAATAATAAACATGTGAGTCACATGAGATATGACTGCGCTAATGCAACATGCATCGCAGTGGACGAGTAGCTGAGTATCTCTTCAGCAAGCGAACACGCAAACTGCCGCGAATGAGTCTCTTCTGTTCACCAATTTATTTGATCCAAAGTACAGCAAAACAGTACAATTTTGAAATATTTTTACTATTTAAAATAACTGTTTTCTATTTAAATGTATTTTAAAATGTAATTTATTCCTGTAATTTAAGTAACCAATCATATGAAATTAGTATTAATAAATAAGGTGGCACAGAAGAAAACTAAAGTGGCTTGCAGGTACATTTTCAGACGTTTAATGAGGCTCAGAGGTGGCATGAGTGCAATTAAATTCATAAATTAATGTGGAGATTAAGGTTTTAAATATAACATTTTGAATACAGCAATATTAAATGATTTAAATAACTGAAATTATACACTAAAAATTTAACTAAATTCGCCAGCAGGTGGCGGCAAGTCACTGATTTTATCACTGAATCATTCATTCAATTGATTCATTCGAACGGCTGAATCATTCAGGAATGAAGCAAGTGACTCTTTATGAACTCACGGAAATCCGTTGTAGCGACGGAAAACTTTAATCTCTGTATAATAATTAGTTCCCTCGTTTTAAGTTAATCGTGCGCTTGATTCGTGCTTTCGTTCTAGGTAAATCGTGCGCACGTTTTAATCATTACCCCCTAACAGGTGCTGGTGCTTTATTTATCTTCAGTAGGCTACGTATCGTATCAGCCTTCTTTGTGAACAGGCTAAACTCAAAATAAAACCCAAATAAAGTGTCTCTGTCCATAACATAACATGACATAACAGCAACATGTTAGTAGTGCTAGAGTGAGCGGCGGCCGGTGGGCTTGAGAACGGCGCGGCCGGCGGGCTTGCGGCAACCATATGTGACGACCCCGGGCTGGACTCCGCTTCGTCCACTGTGAAAGCCGATCCGGCGATCCACAGCGTGAAGTTGATGTATTTCCTCAGCGACCAGCACCGATCAGCTCCAGGTATGACGAAGCGGATATCGTCCTCTTTTGGAAGGCCAAAAAAAATAGTTTCGCTTTCACAACGAAACACAGTGCCTTCATGACAAGGCGGCGGTGGCGGCAACAACAGTACTACAGCGAGAATAAAAGTTACGCCATTCTTTCTTTGCATGAACATTTGGGCGGTGCTATGCAAATCTTCCCACATCGTGACGTAGACATGTGGGGGCATTAGAACGAGCCGTTTTAGGTAGGCGT